CGGGGGAAGGAGGGGAGCCCCGTCCAGGCGCCCCTTCCCCGGCCGAGCTCGCCCCGTGCAGCCGCTCTCAGAGCCCCGGGCAGCCCAGCCAGCAGCCCCGCCAAGCCGCCGCCCTCGAGTCCCGCAACTCACCCGTCGCCTCCCGCGTCTCCAGTGAGCGCCGCGTCCCGCAGCCGGAGCCTTTTGGGCAGGGCGGGGCGGGGCCTGCGGGGGGCGGGGCTGGCGCCGAGTAACTGCCGGTCGTTGACCTCCCGCCCAAAAGCATGAATGGGCGGCTGGCTGGATGAATGAATCGGCAGAGAGCCGCAGCCTTTGGACTCGCACCGCGCTTCACGGGGCTCTGCAACCCGCTCCCAGCGGTTTGCAGAGTCAGCTTCTTTTTCTTTCTCTTTCTTTCTTCTTTCCTTCCTTCCTTCCCACTTAGCTCTTTGACATACCCCTTCACAATGCTTTTACAGCCCTCTCTAAGTGATTTACAGAGTCAGCCCCTTCCTTCCTTCCTTCCTTCCTTCCTTCCCACTTAGGTTTACATGCCGTTTCGCAGCCCTCTCTAAGCGGTGTATAAAGTCAGCCTCTTTCTTTCTTTCTTTCCTTCCTTCCCACTTAGCTCTTTGACATACCCCTTCACAATGCTTTTACAGCCCTCTCTAAGTGATTTACAGTCAGCTTCTTTCTTTCTTTTCTTTCTCTTTCTCTCCTTCCTTCCTTCCTTCCTTTGCATTTAGACTGATATAACCGCTTCACGGGGCTCTTCAACCCGCTCTCAGCGGTTTGCAGAGTCAGCTTCTTTTTCTTTCTCTTTCTTTCTTTCTTTCTTTCTTCCTTCCTTCCTTCCTTCCCACTTAGGTTTACATGCCGTTTCGCAGCCCTCTCTAAGCGGTGTATAAAGTCAGCCTCTTTCTTTCTCTCCTTCCTTCCTTCCTTCCCACTTAGCTCTTAGACTGATATACCCCTTCACAATGCTTTTACAGCCCTCTAAGCGATTTACAGAGTCAGCTTCTTTCTTTCTTTTCTTTCTCTTTCCTTCCTTCCTTCCTTCCTTCCTTCCTTCCTTCCTTCCTTCCTTCCTTCCTTCCTTTGCATTTAGACTGGTATAACCGCTTCACGGTGCTCTACAACCCCCTCTAAGCGGTTTAGAGTCAGCTTCCTTCCTTCGCACTTAGGCTTACATGCCGCTTCGCAGCCCTCTCTAAGCGGTGTATAAAGTCAGCCTTTGGCCCCCAACAGTCGGGCTCTCCATTTGACCGACTTGGGAAGGCTGAGTCAACCTTGAGCCCGGGGAGATTCGAAGGAAGGAAGGAACGGAGGGCTGGGTGGATGGGTGGGAGCGCGGCCCACGTCTCCCGGGAGAGAGGCAGGGGCCGGGCCGATTGCATCAGGCGGGGGCCGGTCCCCCCCCCCTCCTGCTTTCAGAGGGTCGTGGGAAGGCGGGCGCGGAGGGGCCACGTGGGAAGAGCGGAGAAGGAAGCCCCGTCGGAAGGGGTTTTCTGTGAATGGCGCCGCCTGAAGCGCTCCCCCCCGCCCTCACCCCGCGGCTGTTTTTTCCACCAGCCAATCAGGAGGCTTCTAGCATTTCAGACCAACGCTTGTGCATTGGCTTCTTCCAAATCTCCCGGGATGGAGAGAACCCACCGCTTCTGGTGGCAGGCAGTTCCACCGGTTGATTGTTCTCCCTGTTAGGGAGCTTTAATTCCCGGGTGCTTCTCTCCTTTATTCCCCCCTCCCCCCCCCCCCCCCCCCCCCCCCCGCTTCTATTGGAAGAAATGTCCTTCTGGGTTCGGCTCCAAGTGGGGAAAAAGACACTGGAGGCTGCTTGGAAAGATGGTTTTAAT